GGGAGAGGGAGGAGAAAAGAGGGGGAGGGGCGGAGAAACTCCGGGAGGGAGTTCAGGAGGAAGGGGGGAGGGGGAGCAATGCTCCCAGCTCCCTGGGCGCGGGACTTTAGGGGAGAGGAGCAGCGGGGACTGGGGTGAACCCATCCTTTATAACTGCCCAGTTTCCCTCCCACCCCGTCCCTCCCCCGTCTGAGACGCCGTCACCTCTGGGAATCCCTCTGGAAGGCCCCTCTCCTATTTGACCCCTCCTCTCTCCCTGCCTCCTCACGCTTTAAGGGTCTTTCCAGCAAGGGATCTGAGTGCATCAAGGGTGTGAGGGTACCCAGCTCTCTCTGTGCCTCGATTTACCCGTCCATACAATGGTTCTAATGGCCTTAGTATTGGAGAATCCCACAAGTCCCAGTTGCCCTGTCCCGACAGACACTCCACTCACTCCTGCACGTGGGGCAGAGGGGGTTGGGGGGGGGGGAATGGGGGTGGAGAGACTGAGAGCACCCAAGCTCCCCAGAGCCAGGCCCATCTCCTTCTGGTCTGGCCGCCGGGGCTCAGCAGGAGCGGTAGGACTGCTGGATTGCCCGGCCCTGGAGAAAAACACCCTCAGAGTATGAACTGTAATTAGGATGTGACACATTAAACCAGTGGTTCTCAACCTTCCTAATGCCGCGACCCTTTAATACAATTCCTCATGTTGTGGAACCATAAAATTATTTTCGTTGCTACTTCATAACTGTAATTTTGCTACTGTTATGAATCGTCATGTAAATATCTGATATGTCGGATGTATTTAGGCGACCCCTGTGAAAGGATCTTTCGACCCCCAAAGGGGTCGCAACCCACAGGTTGAGAACTGCTGCATTAAACATTCACAGTCCAGGCTGGCCAGGTACCTCTGCTGCCTGAAATATTTACCTGGCCTTCCTCTTTCCCAAGTTATCTGGGTGTTTTTGGCTTGAACATGGACTTGGAGGAGAAACAAAAAGGAGCTATACTGCAGTGATGGTGAAATTAGAGACCTTGATGATAAGATCCCTCTCCCCATTGTGCAGAGGGTGAAACTGAGACCCCAGGAAGGGCAGGAACTTATCAAAGTCATAAAACAAGGCAGGCCACAGCTGAGTCTCCTGCCCTTGACTGGAGACCAAAATAATCAGAAAGTGCCCAGTGGCGTGGCTCAGTGGTTGAGCATCAACCTATGAACCGGGAGGTCACAGTTCGATTCCTGGTCAGAGCATATGGCCAGGTTGCGGGCTTGATCCCCAGTGTGGGGCGTGCGATCAATGATTCTCATCATTGATATTTCACTCTCTCGCCCTCTTCCTTCCTCTCTGAGAGGAAGGAAGAGGGCGAGAGAGACAGATAGACTCAATGATGAGAATCATTGATGGGCTGCCTCCTGCACGCCCCACACTACTCTGATATGTTCCTTCTGTGACCATAGAGATTTGGTCCCTTTTGGTCACTCGTGGATCCCCGGGACTTAGCTTAGAATCCTCCGTGGCACACACGTGTTCAGTGGGGGAGAAAGTGAGGACATGGTTGAAGTGAGATGGTTGGGTCTGGGCCTGCCCTGCAGGGTGGCGGGTGTGTGTGTGCCGGGGAGGGGCGGGGGGACTGAGGGGAGCTGGGGCTTCTGAGAGCCATGGGAGGTGTTTAAGCAGGGGAAGGATACACACAGAGGTGCCATGAGCAAGCTCTTCTGGGGACTAGAGTCAGGCTGAAGTAGAGACAGATTCAGGGGCTCGGGAAGAGGCTGTGGGTATTTCGATGTTTGCTGGCATTTGGAGCTGCAGGAGGGAGCTGCATGCACCCCAACCCCCTACTCATTGCCCAGGATGCCCCTCTGAGGGTCTCTCCCCAGTCTCCACCCAGCTCTGACTATATCTCCACCTCTCTGCCTCTGGGGTGTCTCTGAGTCTCTGCCTCTGTAGGTGTGTGTGTGTTCTCTCTCTCTCTGATCTAATTCTCCCTCTGTCCTTCAAGGTCTTTCTTAGATTTCTCCTCCCTCTATCTCTCCCTCCTACTCTCCCCTTGTGTCCCCGCTC